CAGCCAAAAGCACCTGCTTAGGCAAGCTTAGACCGCTGCAGAGGACCATGGTTCAGTCCCCAGCACCACATGCCGCGCCAGCCCTGCTTTCAGGGTGGGCTGAGCCGGCCAAAAATAAAATAAAATAATAATAAAAGTTATTTCACACTTGTAATAAAACTCACCCCTGTCACTAATCATTATTTCCATATTCTGTGGAACTTCTCCATCTTACATTGCAGTGATTCTAACAATGTAGAGTGGTTCATATCATAAAAATAAAGAGATTGGGTAACCCTAAATGTGGAATCAGTAGAAAAGCATACCATCAATGGGAGAATAGCTGTATGATGTGGTTGAAAAATATTGTTTGTGTTTTAATGTTTTTAAAAATTTATTACAGTAAAGAAATGCATTGATTCTTTACTATAGGTATTAATCCTCTCAAAAAAAAATATTCCCCCTCACTTCAAAAATGCTTATCCCATCATTCGTGCTGCTTTCTGAAGCAGTTCTGAAAGTCCTCTTTCTTGAGTGTCTTTTCTTTTTATTTATTTATTTATTTTGCATGTGTGTGGCCAGATCAGCCCACCAGGGGGCGGGGCTGGCTGGCATGTGGTGCTGGGGATTGAACCGTGGTCCCTGTGCTTTGCTAAGCTTGTTCTAAGTAGGTGCTTTAGACCACTGAGCCATCTCACCAGCCCTCTTGAGTGTCTTTTCATAGCTATCTGAATATCAAGAATGCAAAACATTTACCTTTCATGGTCACTTTGACTTTGGGGAAGAGCCAGAGGTCACATGGTATTAAGCATGTTGAATAAGGCCTAGGGGGAGACACTGGCATTTTACAAGCCTGCCTTTCCTTGACTGGGACGTGGAAGAAGCGTTAACCATACTGATTTTTTATCAAGCCTCATGAATACACGGAAGAAGACTTCAAGAATTGCTTCAGAAAATGTCAAGGATGGTGGGATAATACCATTCCAAAACAAGGAGGAGTATTTTGAGAGGATCGACAGCAATGCGTCTTTCATTGTGCTGCACTTTTTAGTTGAAACATTCATCATATGTTTCAATCACCCCTGTGTTTCTTACTTCCTGGTAAGCAGCTAGGCAGAAGTCTTGGTCCAGCTGAGCATTTTTGGCTACTGTTGTTACTGTTGATCACACACACACACACACACACACACACACACACACACACACACCCTTTATAAGCTGTCTTCCAGCATTTCATTCCTTCACCACTGCTCCTGCGTTTTCTGGACTCTTCTTTATTTCTCTGAGCCCACACCTGTAGATATGCTGTCATGTCTACAGATACCTCCCTTGAGCTGCACTGCTGCTGAGCCTTCTTCTCTCCTCAGCCTTCTCTGCTTGTCTTGGAGCCAACCCCGTTCTCCAGTTCCTCTCCTCCTGTTTGCTCCCCACTTGAGTCCTTCCCAGCCCTCTGTCCACTCACATGGCGAGAGCTCAAATCACAACTTCCATGTTGCCCAATCCCATGACCAGAGGCATCAGCCAGCATGCCCTCCTTCCTAAGCAGTTGTCCCTTTGGGTCTCCCTACAGCCCTTGGTCCTTGCTTCTTCTGCTGCTCCCTGTTATACCAAAAGCTTCAGAGTCATCTCTGACTTTTTTGTCTTCTACTCCTACATTCAACACACAATGAAGCTCTGCGCCATCTTTCTTTGCAGTACACCCAGAATCTGATCTACCTCACCTTGTCTCCACTCCTACCCTAACCTTTGCCTCTGCCATTTCTTGCCCTAATTGCTATGGGAATTCATAAGCTTTCTGCTCCACACTGAAGCCAAATGATTCATCTGCACCTCAGTCCAGGCAAAATCCTTCAGTGAATTCCCACCTTGCTTCAAATCAACTGGAAATCTTTATGATGGCACATAAGACCTACACGAACTGTCCCTGTCCCTCTTTGTCATTCTCTTCCCACCTTAGTTTTGTTCCTGCAACACCTGCGATTTTTAGAACATTCCTGCCTCTGAGTTCTTTGCATGTCTTGTTCCTTTGGTATGAGACACTTCCCTCAGATATCCATGCACCTCTGTCTGGATATTTAATCAGATGGTGCCTGTCTTCAGCAGTACAGGCTGCCATAGCAAAAATGCCATCCACTGGCCAGCTTAACAGGCATTTATTTTCTCACAGTTCTGGAGGATGGAAAATCCAAGATAAAAGCAGTGACTGATTTAGTGTCTAGTGAGGGTTCTTCCTGCCTTTTAGAGGTAAAGCTCTTCATTATGCTCACATGGTACAGCGAAACAGAGTACATGGACTCTGATGGTCACCAATCCCTTTATGGGGGGTCCCATCCTCATAACCTCGTCTAATGCTGATCCCCTCCCCAAAGTCCCATGTCTGTGTACCATCATGTGGGGGTTCAAGCATCAACATAAGAATTTTGGAGGATCACAGTTCAATCCAAAATAGTACCTCATTAGAGAGGCCTTCCCTGACCACCCTATTTAAAATAGCACTTCTTTCTTCCCCAGTGGGTTTTATTTTGTTCATGCTGGCTTTTATTTTTATTTTTTTAAATTAATGGTTTTTTAAAAATTTGTTTATTTATTTATCTATTTTATGTGTGTGTGGCCAGCTCAGCCCACCAGAGGGTGGGGCTGGCTGGCATGTGGTGCTGGGGGATTGAACCGCAGTCCCTGTGCTTTGCTAAGCTTGTTCTAAGTAGGTGCTTTAGACCACTGAGCCATCTCACCAGCCCCATTCATGCTGGTTATTAATTGTGCTCAAAGAATGTATCTTCTGCTTACATATCTCACATGTACACCTGCCTCTTACACAGCTCAGCTCCCATCACAGTCTCAAGCTCCAGTGCAGGGGCTGCAGCTGTTTTTATTCAGCCCCTGTTGCCAGCCCCTGCTGTGCAAATATTTGTTGAATTAATAAGTAAAAATGTTCACTCATATGTACATTGCTAAACCACATACAGAATAAAAAATTTAGCAATAAGACAAATTGCTGTAAATGAGGTTAAATAAATCAAGTCAGAGCCATGCCGTACAATGCCATGTGATCATTAAAACATTGTTGGATATTCAGTGACATGGGAAAATATTCACACTACCATATTTAATTAAAAAAATAGTAAAGTGGTCTATAAAAAGAACATAAAATAAAATCTAAGCTGTGTAAAATGCTATTCTGTTCATGCAGGAGAACTTCATCAAATGCCAAAAAAGACTAGAAATATACCAAGATATCAAAAACAGTGATCACTTAATGGTGGAAAACCGATTTTCATTTTCTTCAATACGATTTTGTCCAAATTTTTATAATATATATATTGCTCTCATCAACCACTAAAACTAATCTTTAAATTGCCAGTAAAGGGGAAATGAGGCCCAGGATGATGTGTGTCAGGGCTGAGGAGACCCTGAGCCTTCTACCGAGTTACTGTGGTCAAGGAAGGACTGATGGCCAGGACTAGGACAGTGACAGTGAGGAAGGCCAGGAAGGCCAGATATGCAGTGTCAAAGGGTTTGCTCTAGCGGAAATGAGATGATAAGGCCCCAGAGGTCATCCAGCCCAACTCCTGCATGTACAGCTAACATGCAGGGCAGATGACAATTGGCTTGTTCCAGTCCCTGGCCGAAAACAATTCAATATATCCCTGAACATCCATGAAAACACTAAATTGTCTGGTGCTCTTGGTCCAGACTCCGGAGGAGCCTGTTTCATTGCCCAGTGGTATTCACACGGGGGGAAGCCAGCCTGTTGGCAGTGTCTGGAGCCATTTTTTGTTACTAAAGTAGGCCTGGGCCTGGTCAGGGCTGCTACAGGCACGCAGCGGGTAGAGACTACAGACGCTGCTACGTTTCCTACAGCGTGCAGGGCAGCCCCACAGTCAGCAGTGGTCCAGTCTAGGATGTACATAAAGCCTGGACTATGAAACTCAGGCCTGGAAGGTATTTCTGTAGTTCATGTTTTTGATGAATTTTAAAAATAGTTGAGACTGTTCTAATTATATAGCTTCATCTTCCTAAAATAAGTCTTAGTAAATATTCAAATAGTTGCTCAGGACTCTTGTCACATGAGACTGAACCCTGAATGGCCTAAAACCTCCTACTGGACCCAGGCCATTAGCAGTTCTTCACTCTATAAACCTGTGATGAATGCATCTTCATTTTGTGTTGCTTTTAAATGGCACACCAGTCTGGATAGTCCTGGGGCCTTTGGAACATGGTTAAACTCTTAGTCCCTGGCAGAAGCAGGACAGAGCTGTGTCCTGCCAAATGCAGCAGAGGACGAGACACTGAGATGCACCGTTGGGAGCATCTGATTGAGGGGAGAGGCCTGGAATGCTGGGGGTCATGGGCTTAAAACGTGGGTACACCAACCAAACCATGTATGCACACATATTCAGAGCTGTGGGAGTAAATACCAGAAAGAAAACACTGGTGGGATTAACGCAGGCTTTCTGCCATGTTGATTCTGGGACAAGAAGCTGGGATCAGGGGAACCAGGCAAGAGGCATTTGGGGGCTTTGCCATCAACTTCTATATTCCTTGACTGCTTTATTATGAATGTGTATTCCTATGTAACATGTGTAATATTGAAGCACAAAACATGTTTGAGAGTTATTTGGATCTTTGTGGACTACAGGCCTGATTCAATTCAGCAAATGCTTTTACTTGTTCTACCGGACCCTGGCACATGCTTGGCATGGGGCAGGCAGATGAGCGTCCCGGGAGGCCATGCTGTTGTTATCAGGAACCTCCACCATGCATTTATATGATGGGCCTTAGTGAGCTCTGCTCCATGCATACCAGACTTGACTCCTTGGTATCCATGGTCTGTGACATAAAAGATGGGGCTGAAACACATGGTCTAGAGCCAGAGCCAGAAGGTTTCAGGTTGACAGGCTCACATTGCTCTGAGCTCCCTGGCTTATGTTTTAAGGGCTGGTGTAGCTACTGTTTCTCCAGGAAGTCTGCAGAGCTGACCCTGGGCCAATAGATGGTGAGATCATTCTTGTTTCTCTCAGGCCGAACTCCAGGTCCCTGGCTCCAGGCCGAGGCATCAGGGCAGAGCTCGGATGACATCAAAGGCAGAAATTCTCAGGTAACAAACACACCCCACAGGTCTCTGAAAGCAAGGTCATGCATTTTCCTCCTCACAGATGGACAGTTTTCCTCAGATACCTTTTCCTTGGGAAAGCTATTTGGTGTACCTTCGTCTCAAGCCAGTATGAAACACACACAGTTTCAGACTAGAAGAGGGAAGCAGGGTGGGGGTGCCCTGCCTCGTGCAGGAGCAAGTGTAGTCTCTAGGAACCTTTAGGACTCTTTCTACAGTAACCACCCCATCACTCCCTATTCTTCTTTTAGCAACCTTTGTATGTTTTTCTCCATCAGTATAATAATGGATTTTGACCAAATATCGCAATCCAAGCCCCCATGGCTACAGGAAATAGACAAAGCTCAGTGGGATTTACTTCACAGCTTATACAGGACAATCTTTGAGAAAGCATACTTATTCGCAACCAAGGCAATTTACAAATCTTTTCTAACATGGGCAGAAGTCATGTCTTTCACGGTGTGTGAGAGGGCCTCACCTTTAACAAATGACAGGCTCTCATCTTTAAAACTCCTTTCTTTAAAACCATTTATCCAGTCCTACCCTGACCTCCTCTGGTTTCAAAGTTTGATGTAACAGACAACAGGTTGGTTTGTTGTTAAACTAGGCCATCCTTCAGCTGCACAGTATGTCAAGGAAAGTGACCTGAGAAGAAAGGGACTTGGTTCCTGAGAGGCAGGATAGTTCTGAGAGAAGGACTTCCTTTCTTAGCAAATATCAAGTAACCCAAGAATTGTAGTCACCATTCTCATATGATTGCAGGTTCAAAACTGGGTGTCAGTTGTAGTTAAAGCATATATACCTAAGGGGAGGAGAGAGGAGAAGAGGGATAGATGGGAAACTGTTAGTAGGGAGAGAGGATTCTGGGAAGATGGCAGGATAAGAAGTACTAGTAGTCTGTCTCCTTGCCTGGAGTGCATTTGCACTGGCAGGATCTATCTGGCAGAACTGTCTTGAAACTCAGGGGCCTGTTGAAGGGGTGCAGTATTCAAGGAAAGCTTTCAAGATTGATTTCAGCTGACTTTAGTCCGTTTCATCTCTGAATATAGGAGCTGAAAGTCCCTTCACCGGTCACCATAGTAGGCAGCTGGACACATGTACCTGGAATGGCTTGTGCACAGCTGATGGGAAACAATGCGCAACATTTTCAAAGCACCACCCCCCAATACTGGGGACCGGTGCCCTGATAGCTGGTTGCCACTTCTGTTTCCAGATGTGCAGGTGAAGGGGTGGCAGCCATGGTCGCACCATCTCTCCCATTGTTCAAGCTCCTCCAGCTCTGACTGAAGTGACTTCCTAAAGATTTGGTTTTCTTCCCTTCATTTTTCTTTCTTTCCTCATTTGGGGAGCCAAGCATTAAAGACTAAAACATTTGACAGTAACTTTCCCTCTGGGGAGAAATAGGAAGCGAGTGGTACGCCCAGAGACAGGCCCAGGCTCAGGAGACACCTAGGGCTTCAGATGTGCGCCTCAGGCCAATTCTTAGCACAGAGACAACCAATAACAATCCCCCAAAATAAGTTAAAATAAATACAGTAACAACAACAATAAACTGCAAACCCTACAAAAAGGAAAAGCATCTTTTCCAGGGTTATTGCATCATTTGATTCAAATTTATAGCTTTCAGCAAAAACATAAATTATATGAAGAGAAAGGAGAGTGGAGCCCATTCAAAGGAAAAAAATAAATCGACAAAAATTACTCCTGCAAAAACCCAGTGGCAGAGCTACCAAAGACTTTAACACAACTGCTTTCAATGATGTTCAAAAAAAAGGAAAGTGTAAAGAACTTGGGAAGGTGATGTATAAATAAAATGAAAACTCAATAAAGAGCCAGAAACAAAAAAGCACAGGGGATGTAGCTCAGCACAAAAGCCCTGGGTTCATACCAACTACCATAAGAAAAGGCAGTTCAATGCTAAAAGAACGAATCAGCACCCTGGTCCAGCATGCTGCGCTAGTCCCGCCTCCCAGGGGCAGGCTGAGCTGGTGAATGAGTTCCAGGGTGTGGTGGCGCAGGCCTGTAATCCCAGCTCTGCAGAGGTTGAAAACAGGAGGATCACTATGAGTCCGAGCTGCATAGTGAGACCCTGTACCAAATACATAAATGAAAAAAGAATGAATCAGAAAACTTGAAGGCAGAACAATGAAAATTAACTCTGAAGAACAAAAAGAAAAAAAAAAGATCAGAAGTAAACAAAACTGAGGAGACCTGTGGGACACCATTAGGTAGACCCACACATTTAGTGAAATTTTCAGAAGGAAAAAAGAGAAGGTAGAAAAAAATACTTGAATAAATACCTTAAATACCTCCCAAATTTGACAATAGGCATGAATATAAACATCCAAGGAGCTCAACAAACTAAGATTAACTCAAAGGTCTTATATTAAGAAACACAGTAATTAAACTTTTGAAAAACAATGAGGATCTTAAAAGCAGCAAGAGAAAATCAACCTTTCCTGCAAAGGGATCCTTGATAAGATTACCAGCAGATTTTTAAAAGCAGAACTTTAAAAGGAGAGAAGTAGGGGGCCAATATATCCAAAGACTTAGAGGAGAAAAATCTGTCAACAAAGAATTCTATATTTGATTAAACTATCCTTCAAAAGTGTGGGATACGTTAAGATATTCATGCATAAACAAAAGCTGAAGGAGTTTTTACTAGACTTGCGCTGTTCAAGAAATCAATTTCCTTCCCTTTTTTAATGTCCCATGCAACTATAAATGGCCAAGTTTAGCCATGGGCTCTAGATTCTCTCTGATTTTTACTTTCTTCCTAGTATATTTTTGCAATGTCCACACTTACTACAATAAATATATTAACATTATGATTAGAAAAATACAACCATCATAATCGCATATATGGCTCTTTACATTTTTCAGCTAGCTTATGTTATCTCTGCCTGATCCTTTTAATAACCCTATGATCAAGCTGGAGGAACAGCTTTAATGGCATTTTTACAAAAGAGAAAACTGCAACCCAGAATGTTTAGGAGCTTACCCAAAGCCACACACATATACTTTCCGACCTCTGTCCAGTACTCCTGACACTATACCTCACGATTTATCCCGGCATATTGGAATCTCCAGGGGTAAAGAACATCATCACCATCAGTGTGTAGGGCTGTGCCAGACATTATGTGGGATCTTGTCCCCAGCCTCATGGCAGCCACATACCCAAACCAGCCCAGACTGATGGTTTTTATCTCTGACCACGACAGTCCAGCACAAGATGGATTATAAATTCTTCCACCGTCGTCCCACAGTCAGGGTTCTTTATGTCTCACTGGAGACAGTGGGTCAGATCAGCTCCTTGCATGTGACAGAACCTCCTCCGTTCATTCCCAGTGCACCAAGACACAGAGCAGTGCCCAAAGAAGTCACCAGCTTCCAGATAGCAAGCAGTGCCTTAGGGAATGCCCTTTGTGATGGACACAGTGACCATTTTCAGGGTGGGAGGCCTTGGCTGGGAGTCTGAGGCCTGAGTCCCCTTCTCACTTTTCTTTTACCTTGACCTATTATCTTTAGATTGTTCTTTACTTTTTCTGAGTGTCTTGCCAACTGAGTGACTGATGCGTGTTCCCACAAATGCTTATAAAACATCTTTAAGTCCCCACCTAGCATCAACTTCATCTACCATTTTACGTCTTTCCACCCACAACTCCTTGGGTCAGATCAGCTCCTTGCATGTGACGGAACCATCTGCCCAGCCCTGCAGGCCTTGTATGAGTGAGGAAACACCTCGGGCAAGTCTTTTGTACTCCGTGCGTCTTCTCATCCCACCCAGCAACATTCTGCTATGTTTCTACAGTTGGCCCTAAAGACGCTCCGGTGAGGAGACGGTGAAGCCACAGCCCCACAGCTTTTGGAGCTCCATACGGCAAGCTGACACCTCCTGAAGAACGTGTCGGCCTCTACTGTACTCAAGCTATATTCAGTTGACATACAGGCTCTGACAGAGCACTTATTTATTGTAAATATGTGGTTTGCATGGGCTTTAAAGCAGCATTTGAGTCGAGTTTTATTTGAGTAATATTTTTTTAAAACACCACTTCTACTTTTTTTTTTAATGCATCATGGCATTAGTCTGTCTGTACAAATAGAGCCCTGTCCCACCCCAGACTGTCTATTCTGTGACTGTAAAAATGCTTGTAGGCTGGCCCTTCACTAGATTCTGAACCATTTTTAAGAGTGTCCTTAGTTTGCAGGTAGTCCCAAAGTCGTAAGTATCCACCATGGCTTCTCATTGGCATGACTTTAGAGTCTCATGGCACCAACTACAAGATCAAACCCAATAATGCCTTATAATAATGCCGCTCAGAGGAAGTAACGTGTCCCCACACCCCGACAGTGCCGCGCAGCCTCCAGTGAGCGAGATGCCACATCTCGCTTCCGTTTTGCAGTACAGGGATTGTCTTTTTGCTGCCTAATGTAAATATATCGCAATGTCAAGGCAGGAGTGGGCTTGGCCCCTCCAGAGCCTTCCGCAGGGCCCCTTTTGTAACTGACTTATTTTACAAGTAGCCAATGCTCTTACTGTTTACAGTGTTCCTAGTGTCCATGTCTCTGTCACTTTCCTCCTGTCCCTTCAAGTTCCTAGCCCCATCCCAGTAGTTAGGATAAGGTCGGCTAGCTGAGATTATGGTATTTTAGTCTCCTGCAGGTTAAGTAATACACACAATTCGTGATTACAGCAAACTACCAATTCTGTCTCAGAGGTCTCCCGCTCCCCATCCTCATCATGAGTACAGGGTTTCCATGGAAATGATGACATGAAAAACTATAAAACATCTCGTAAAATACATGCCTCAGGAATCTGGTTCCATCCCTGTGCTTTAGGACGCTGGGAACCAGCTATCTGGCCAAACTGAGCTCCCTCCTAAGCTGACAGAGAACATCAAAGGCTGGCAGTTTCCTCTGCCCCTGGTGGGCACCCAGGGGCCAGAGATGTGTGCAGGTTCCACTGCCTGAACTGGCCCAGATGGACTTTCCTGCCCACTTTCTTTGAGCCAGCAAGTGTAGAAATGTGTGTATACTTACTGCCTGACCCCACACCCTGCCCAGCCTTGGGGGAAAGCGCTGTGTTAGGGAAAGGAAAAAAAAAACGGAAGGAAAGACTGACCACTGGGCTGTGTTCACAATAGCTACAAATTAGAGGAAATTGGCAAGGAAGAGCAGTGGAAAATATGTTTGTTTTCAAGGAACCCACTCACACTTGTAGAATATCAGGTGCAGGCAAAGCCATCCAGATATGGTGGACAGGAAGGAGGATTCGACCAGTAAGACTGTAGATCCCTGGCTGTTGACTGCAGCAAAGAGTAAGATGGTATCCTACATCAGCACTATGCTTCTGAATCCAGACAAGCAGCCAACAGCCAGGATAAAGTTCCTGCCTCTGCAGCATAACTCAGGCCAAACTGCAACAGTAAAGTCAAAGGAAAAACAGTTTGCGGGCCTTTTGCATTACTGATGTGCTGTGGAAGGTTTCTAAAAGTCAGCATTTCTTTGTTTAGAACAGTATCCACTCTCTTTCCCCTAGCAGTATAAATAATTATGAAAGCTTTAATTACCACGATGAAGGCCTTAGACAAAGCCAAACCCACCTTCGGAGCAGACCGCCTGCCCTGAT